TTGTAAATTGGTTCAGAGTGCACATGGTTTTGGAAAGTGAAAAAGGGAGCAATGTGGAGAATTGTTGATAACATGCAAAAAGGGGTAAATCACAAGGTATGTCATCCAAGTTTGGTGAGATCTTTATCTTGTCTCTTAGTTTTCAAGTGGTTATAATTATGACATAATAGTTGTTACAAGATCAATTTAGTCCATGATGTTAGTAATTAAATATTATTGGCTCCTCAAGTTTTTAGTTATGCAAATTGGGTTTCCAAATTATTAATTAGATTTTAGTAAGTTATTTTTTTATGGCAAGGAAAATTATTGGAAGTCGTATTTGTACGATAAATTATCCGTGTTCGTTAGAAAAAGATTGGAAATTAGAAATCAGGTTGGTGAGCTGGAATTTAAGACTAATATTTTGGGTTTTGTTGATGTTCCGATTTTGAGGTCCGTTTTGCTAAATTCAAATCCGGTAAGTTATTTTTCACTGATTAATCACCCGATTCGATCCGTTTTTCAGAATTAAGCTCTGTTTTTTTTTTATAAAATTTATGTTATGTATATGAGGAATTATTGGAAGTTGAATTAAAGATCGAGGGCGTTCGAATGGAATTTATATTGTCGATCAGTATAGCTCGAAAATTGAGGTAATATTTTACTACCTCTTTATGCTTTATGGAATATGTTGATATTGATAAATGCATGAATAAAAAAATGTTTGGCCTCATTTGTGTAGTTAGTTAATTTCTACAATCGATCTGAATACAGTAAAAAAGTGATAACTGAATATGATTCATATGATTAATATAAGAAATTGGAGGACAGTTGGAATTAAACTACAAGCTTTGTGATTAAGTGATAAATGAATCAGTCTGGTTATGTAAATTATAATTCATTTCATCAAAGGTACTTGGATTGGAAATTATGAGAATACTCCGGTAGGGTAAAATTATAAAAATACCCTTATGTTGAAAGATGACAAGAATTGTCCCTGGAAGTTGGTTAAAAACTCTGAAAAGGCATATTGATCCGATAAAATTACTAATGTGCATAAGAAATGCTAGTTTTGCTTTGAAATTTGGATAACTGGTTTTTAACCTCAAAAGGGTTTGTACAAGATGCTAGAAGTCTGTTAAGGAAATCATTTCAAGATCAGAGAATGTTCAGGAAAGCAATTAACCATAGGATCTCTAAATTATATTATTCTCGTTAAGAGTAATACCGAAATTATTTGGTTAAGAAATTATGAAAATACCCTTGAGAGGTAAAAATAGTCCGAGTTGACACGAAATGAGAAAGTACTTTGAGGATTTGTACTTAACTCGATAAATTACGGATTTAATTGTTAAGATTTTGTCTTTGTACAGAAAATCCTTAATAACCTGTTGGTAACTTCTTAGAAGACAATTGACCTAAAAATCTCCGAGTTAAGAATAAATTATCAAGGGTGCTCTTTTGTCAGAATTGTTCGAAAGGTCTGGAAAAGATGATATGTTTGAATTAAATAATAAGATCGTACGGAAGTATGTAACACACTGGATCTGTAAAATGACCAGGATACCCCGATAATGGAGGACTAAAAAATATCACCAACCCCAGGAATGAATGGACATCTTCAAGCTTTGAAATGAATGGAAAAAAAACGTTGAGCACCAAAATGACCAAAACACCCTTATGGCCTAGAGTAAGTAAATGTTTTGGATTAATTAAGGAATCCAAATAAACATAGGTGTTGTACTACCCTTAAAAGTTATGGAACACAACTTAAGTGAGTTGATCAACCTTAATGATATGTCAGTACCTGAACTGCATAGATGTCACTTAAATGCGTGTTCGACTTCTCAAGTTTGGCTTGATGATAATTTTGGAAGTATTCAGCTCAGCTCAACTCTAGATCGCATTCAGTACTAAGAAGTGGATATTCGTTAGACAAATCAACTACGAATACCAAATTGAACTAAACATAAATGCAATATGTATTTAAAATTCATAAATGTCTGAATTACTCTGGAAAACTCTGAAGTAACCTGGATAGAATTGATTGTTAAATGAACTAAGTAACATCAATGACTGAGGATTAAGTAAGTGATTTGGATAAGTCTGGAAACTCTGGTGAGTTTATATAGTGTACCATTACTATGGGTGATAAACCACAAATCAAATACGTCAACATTTCTTGATATTGTTGAAATGTGGAAATGAAATAAAGACCATTGGAAGATCCACTCAACGATGATTATGGGGATGATCTATGGATATGCATTATGTATTAAAGAGCGAATACCCTGGAAGGATAATGAATTGACTTGTTGACATGCATCAATTTGGGAGTTTTGTAACTCAAGTTGTTTGATAATACGATTGATAGTCATAAATTGTAGATGACTTCAATCTCCGATTCTACATTTTCATCTAAAATCACTTCGGACATGTTTGAAAACACAAGTAATGCAGAAGGAAAAGATTCTGAATACCCCATTTGGTTCAATTGGGCTGAAATCCTATGAATTCAAAGTATATTCCTGAATACCCCTGATTATTTGGGTAATGAAATCACTCTCAGTAAATCGGAATCTAGAATTATTTTTTATAAAGGTTCCTGAACACTTTCCTGATGCATATGAAAACATAGTGGAATTCTAAAGTATCAGCTTAAATGTTTGATTAGATCGGTTAGTAATCGATTCTTTTCAATAGGACCTTGTTCCTGGAATACGAACAGATTGCATAAGTTCGTGCTATCCATACTGATGACTACAAAATGTCTCTGCAAAATACTTGGATTCTCTAGTGTGTTCCCTATACATTAATAAAATATTTTATTGTTTTAACATGTGGTACACTAAAATCTATAATTACTGTTTATGGATGCACCGACTTAACGGTGATGGTTTATGGATTTGTAACATGGTATAAATTGTATCTTGGAGATACATATTTGTAAAGTACAGCTCTGATCAAACTGAAAAATTTTTATGGACCTAATGTGACTTTAGGTAGGCTCTGCGGCCCTGAGATCATTCTCGGGTAGGCCTTGTGGCCCTAAGATGTGTTCTTAGGTAGGCCCCGTGACCCCAAACTTTCTTGGGTGGGCTCTCAGGCCCTAAGATGTTCCCTTAGGTTAACTCTTTATAAGATGATTTAAAAATATGAGTTTAAAAAGCTTCACTACAATATGGTTAATGTGATTTACTGAACTATCATTTGATTAGTGTACCTATTATGATTTTATCGTACTGATGGAACACACTAGAAAACCTATTCTGATCTCTTGAACCTAGACATCCGAAATATTTTCATCTGAAATGAATACTATTTGTTTAGAATCTCTGCTCAGTATAAAGATCTGTAAATGTCTGAATCGATAAGGAAAAATATGTTTATCTGTATCTGCACGTTCTTCAGCATCATCTGGTAGTTCTGTATTACTGAGCTTTCCGAAGCTCACTCTATTACTCACCATTGCAGGTTAAAAGAATTGTACTAGTGCAGTTATCGACATCAGTAAAGGAATTCTTCCGGGGTTGTTTCCAGAGAATGATACATGTGATTATGGGGCATGTAATTGTATTTTGTTTTATATACGAGTCCGAAAATCTATTTTATTTTTAAATAGTGACAAATGATTTTATAAGTTTACACGTTCTGATAAAAAGTTTTAAATTTTCCGCTATTTTTACAGTGGGTCGCTCTGGTGACCCTAATGTGACACTCTAGATCGGATCGGGTTACCCGCATCGGTCTGAGGGGGTTACATATGGTTTTGATAAATTTGAAATTTTAGGTGTTAAAATGAATTAAAGCTTATAGTTTAGGTACTATATACGTATTTTACTCATAATAAAATTTGTAAAATGGGAGAAAGTGAATAAATAAATACGCGGGAAAACCTTGTTGTCATACGAGGAATCGGTTCAAGATCAACGAGGAAAGAACCAACAAAACTTCTATTAGGACAAATCATGGTCGTCCACGTGTATCCATATCCACACACATCAATCCATTATAAAGATCTCTTCTCCCTGTCTTATAGGGATTTATCTGTAAACCCTGAAAAAGAAAAAACCTCTTAAATAATGAGTCATTTTTAATTAAAAAAATATGTTTAAATAATGTTTTGAAAAAGATTTAAGTGATTAAGGAATTTTTTTTGTTAAAAATTAATGTTTAAAGTTTTTTTGGTTATATTTTTAGATATTTACTATAAAAAAATTAAATGAGATGTATCATGTTTAGATTTATTTTTAAAAATAAAATATTATTTAAAAATATTTATAAAAATATTTAAACTTGAAATGTGCAATTTAACAAATTTTTTAACATATATATAGGCTTGTAAACGAACCGAACGCACATGAATGGATGTATGTTCATGTTCGTTTATTTAATAAATAAACAAATATAAACGAACACAACATAAAAGAATATTTTTTTTTATTTTCGTTTATTTAAATGATAAACGAACATAAACGAAAAATCAATCATAAACGAATATAATAAATGAATATAACGAACAACACAAACACACAAAAAAACTTATTCGAACACAACAAATGAATGTAAAAAATGTAAACGATAAGAATAACAACTTAAATTTCTTTAATATAACCTGCAACTTTAGAGTTAATTTATTCGAATACGACAAAACATACATAAATCATAAATAACCTATATGAATATAATAAAGTCTTAAAGTTAATTTGTTTAACAAAACAATCTTCTTGAAATTCAAACAACTTCAATAATCTTTGTAACATATTCAACTTGGCATCAGTTCGAACATAAATGAACGAACATAACCAAACATATAATCGAACGTTCACGAATGTAAATGAACGAACGAGCCATTTGTTTGTGTTCGATCATTTAATTAAACGAGCACAAAATCTTATATATGTTCGTTCGTTTAACATAAACGAACTTGGTTGATTGAAGTTTAAATCGTTTAGAGGCCTACGTATACACCTAAAAATTGTTTAACACCGAAATTAGTTTTGAGCATGGTTTTGGAACTCATTTTTATATTAAGCCTCTCATTTATCAGACTTCCCCTCATTTTTGCTTTTGAGCAAATAATGAGTCTTTCAACTAAGCAGAGTGTTAATAGAGCTATGAATCCTTGGGCTCTTCATCTTCAAAAACTGGGTCTGGAGCTTAAATGTCCTCTCTGGTTTGTTCTCTCTCACTGTGCTGCGTTTTCTTTGTTTTTTTAATTTGAGGTTTTGAAGTTGTTATTATTAAAAATTGTTATCGTGGCAGTTTGAATTTGTTTAAACGGCCATTATTGATGCCGTGCGACCATCTGTTTTGCGAGTTAGTGCCATTTCTCCTTCTATCTTTATCTTCACTTCTGATTTTTTTTGGTTTTCATTGCTTTCTTTTCATTTTTTTTGAAATTGTTACAGTACGTGCATAGCCAGAACTGAGTTTGGCTCAGAGTGCCCTATTTGCAATGCCCAATCTGCAGATCGAGGTATTTTTCATTTAATTACTTCTATTTGGGTTTTGTTTTTGTAAAACGTTGTTGGGAGCTAACTAAGGTTAATATCTGGGTTATCTTATTTCTAAACCCTATTATTTTTGTGGGTTTCGTTCGAGTCCATTGATGGTTTAAATTTTTGGATTGATTTCGGTTTCATGTATTTGGATTCTGGATTCTCGTTTAGATAATTTTGGGTTTTGTTAATTTGAATTTCGCATTTGGATGAGAAGGTCTCTTCTTTCTAAAGACTATTTGGAAATTGTTTCCAGCTTTGTTTGAGTTTCGTTTTATAGCTGAAAAAACTATGATGCTTGCAGATCTAAGGCCTGTGACCTTCATGGAGAATATAGTGGGAATCTATAGAAGTTTGGATGCTGCATTTACTGCAAATATTTCTCCTTCGCCCGTAGCCAGTGTTGGTAAAAATGATAAATTTGATAAGTGCATAACTCAAAGGTGTATTGGAGATAAAGGGTATGAGACTCCTAACAAAGATGGGGTTGCATTTGATAGTTCTGGGAATGTTGGTTTGCATGTTAATCAAGTAGATCAAACATCTTTTGGCCCTTCTTCCTGTGGCTATACAAAGGCTTCTGATACTGATAGTGAACATGTAAGAGTTTGCCTTTCTTCTAATCCCATTATGCTTGTAGTTGTATGATTGTAAATCAATGCTGGTTCTTCCTAGTTACTTTTGTTCATAGTAAACTTTCATTTGTCTGTTCTGTGTTTCCCCATATGACTCGTCACTTGGTGTTAGGTTGCTGATGTTTATACTACTATTTGCAGTCTCTCACTAACTATTCAGTCAAGGGAGTTGGCAAGAGAAATTTTGATGATATGACAAGTCAAAAGCAGTGCAATTCCGCTTTAAGGATTGACAGTCATTTTTGGGATTCCAAGAGTCCGAAGAGGTTGAACCATGAACAATTAGGTATGGTTGTCAAACCTATGGATCATTGTCAACCTGTTCTGAAGGCTCAAAACATAGTGACTTTTGATTGTCAATTAGGATCTCAAATTGAACCATCTCTTGCTGGTACAAATCTGCCAGTGACATCAGACAACATGTGTGGAAACAGTGCCATTTGTGGATTTTGCCAGTCCTCTCGAGTCTCAGAGGTAAATCCCTAAAGAGTATTATTTGATTATTCCTTTTATTGAAAATGTTCTTTATAAGTAACTTTTTATCAAACATTTTCAGGCCACTGGGATGATGCTCCATTATCTCAACGGAAAACAAGTAACAGGAGATGCATCATTCAGCTCAAATGTTATACATGTTCACAGCTTGTGTATTGAATGGTATTTTTCTGGAAATTTTAAATTGTAGAATATTTAAGTAAAAGGGAAATTATGGGTTTTTGCTGGGTAGGTTTGGAGTTTTAGTGAAACCTGTTTATATACTGTCTGGTTATGTTTCATTTTGATACAGTAACTTTCTCTTTCTGTTGTTTCTTGCTGCTAGAAATTCATTGATATTGTCTTAAAATATAGGGCGCCCCAGGTGTATTATGTTGATGAATCTGTTAAGAATCTTAAGGCAGAACTTGCAAGGGGTGCAAAGCTGAAGTGCAGCAAATGTGGGCAAAAGGGGGCAGCACTTGGTTGTTATGTGAAGTCTTGCCGCAGAAGTTATCATTTCCCTTGTGCAAAAGAGATTCCAAAATGTCGATGGGATCATGTAATTGCATTTGCACCATAATGTATATGAGATATTATTTTATTCTGTGGTGTTCTGCCTTTACCTTCTATTTGGTTCACTTGACAATTTTTGCTCATAACTTTTTCTTTCATCTCATAGGATGACTATCTCGTGCTTTGTCCTGCCCATTCTTCTGTTAAGTTTCCAAGTGAGAAGTCTACAAATGCCCATTCTTCATCCAAGTTGTTGACTGAGAAGTCTGGAAATTGTGTGTCTGCTAATGATGGCATACCTACTGAAAGGTAATTAAATCAATGGAAACGTCTTAGATATCTTTCAGAGGTCTATACCTTCTATGCGTACTTTTTGAAGAGCTGCTATTTTATGCTTCATTTTCTCTCACTTTAGAAGAAAAATGGCAAAAGAAGCCAAATTATTTGATTTTTTTTGGGTATTTTTCCTAGTCATGGAGAAAGTCTTAAACTGATTATTGAATTGTCTGGAGAGTGATCTGATTGTAATTCTGCATGCAGTGGCCGGCTGAAATCTTACACTTTCTGGGGCCAGCCAGATGATAAAAAAATTTGGGTTTTTTGTGGCTCTGCTTTGCCTCCTGAGGAGAAGGTTGGTTTCGATAAAACTCAATTTTGTTTTGACCCATTTATAAGTTTTGAGTAGTTATTTTTTATGTACTGTATCTTTGAATTGTTTGTGTTTTATCGTGTTGAAAGGTGAAACTGATATATTTTTCAAGCATTGATTTCTTTTAATCGATCTTTTTGGTGTTGGAAATGGACGTATAGTATCTAACATGGAGATTATTTCGTTGATAAGATATCCTTGAATAGGCTTTTTATTTTAACAACAATGTACCCTTATTGTATATATTTATTGTTTTACCTTGTTGCAGTTCCTTTTGATCAAGTTTGCGAACATGATTGGTGCAACTGTATCCAAGTTTTGGAAGCCGGATGTCACTCATGTGATTGCTTCTACAGATGGGAATGGTGCATACACCAGGACACTTAAAGTTCTCATGGCCATTTCAAACGGGAAGTGGATTCTTAATATAAATTGTAAGTTGAATTGTTCCTTTTTCCACTCTATATTCATAAGCATCTGTTCTTTTACTTTGTTGAATGTGTGCTGGTTGAAGTTCAATCACTAAAACAATAAGTTGTATCGTCACCACTGATATGTAAGCTTAACTTTACAGGGGTAAAGGAGTGCTTGAAAGCCATGCATCCTTTGAGTGAGGAACCTTACGAAGTTAGTCTCGATAACCACGGGTGTTGTGATGGCCCTAAAACTGGAAGACTCAGGGTATTGAATGATGTAAGTCTTTCTTTTATGTCTGCTAGTTTTTAAACTTGGCAACACTATTACCATTTGCTTTGCAAGCAAAGTAACTTGTTCCTCTAGCAGGCACCAAAGCTCTTTGATGGCTTTAACTTTTATTTTGTGGGCGATTTCGTGTCTGGTTTCAAGGAAGATCTTCAAAATCTGGTTGTCACCGCGGGTGGTACTGTTTTGATGAGAATGGAGGAACTAATTGAACATAATAACAACGGTGATCAGACATCTCAAGCAAAGATGGTTGTTGTGTATAACCTGGATGCTCCCCAAGGATCCGAGTTAGGAGAAGAGGTTTCAATTATTTGGCAGAGGGTTAGTGAAGCACAGGATTTAGCCTCAAAAATTAGTGGACTAGTCATTGGTCATACATGGCTTTTAGAATCAATTGCAGCATGTAAATTGCAGGCTTTTGTCAATTAGCCAAAGATTGAAAATTTATCTTTTTTAGCTAGAAAATGACCAGTAATTTATCAACCTTTACTTGTTTTAGAACTTGCCTTGGAGTCTTTCTGTTGTATTTAATTTATACATATGTAGTTTATCTTTGAATTTAGATTGGAATAGACGTACGAGCTTTTTTCCAACTACAATGCATTAACAGCCATGAATTGAAATTTGCATCTTGCATCATTTGTAAGGAGAAATTACATGGGATACTATCAACTTGTGCCGGCTTTCAAGGCATCGACCATGTTTGAAACTTTATTCGGTGAATCATCAATGGGTTCGTTCAAATCACTTTCGGATCGTTTTGCATCCGCGTTATAAACATAAAGTCTGGCCACAACAAAGAAGAAGATGAAGTTTAAGAAGCCTAGGACAGCCAAGAAAGCGAAATAATAGTCTAGGCGTGAGATGTTGAGGTTGTTCAAGATCCACCCTCTATGTCCATGTCTCTTGGTCATATCCGAAACTGTCGTCAAAACAAAAGTACTGATGAAATGGCCAATCCCAATGCTGCTACTGTAATACGAGGTTCCAAGGCTTTTCATTCCCTCTGGTGCTTGATCGTAGAAGAATTCTAGCTTTGCAACTTCTGCAAATGCATCATACACCCCTGCCAAGGCAAACTGGGGCAGCAGTATGAAAATACTGAGAGGAACCGTGTCATTTATACCGAGTTTCTGATGATCTCGAGCAACGCTGAGTCTCTTACTTTCGGCAAAACAAGCAATTATCATAATGATGATTTGCAACATAAAGCCGATTCCCATTCTTTGAAGCAATGTGATCCCTCTGGGGTTTTTGGTGTAACGCCTCATTATCGGGACGAAGCAGCGGTCATATATAGGAATGGAGATCAACATGAAGATTGTAACAAATGCAGAGAGACAAGCTGGTGGGATATCGAAATGTGGACCCATACTACGATCAAGGGTGGTTCCTTGTTTGACAAACAGTGTTCCGCCTTGCGCTATTATGGTGCTTGGTATGAATGTTCCCACCAAGATGGGGATCATTTTTACTATCTGCTTGGTTTCTTCGACTTGAGTCACTGGACAAAGCATCCATGCCGAGGTTGGTCCGCTCTTTACTGCAGCTTTGTCTAGGAATCTGCAAAGAAAATGCAGTGTAATCAGCCAATCTTAATGTTCTTAAGAAAAGTGTTTATAGAGAATCAACCTTAACGAAGGGGTATGATCGATTCTGAATTTCTTAGATTTTGAGTATTCCTCCAAGCTAAGCTCATGTAGCTCTTTCGGGTTGGTCGGAACCGGCACATTCCGTTTCCTAATAGCAGCAACAAGCACTTGGAAAATCCTACTAAAAGGACTACCCGAAGGCAATTTGTGTCTATAAAATGGAGTTCCCACCAAGAACACCAAGACTGAGACCAAGAGACCAACTGTTGGAAGGCCATAACCAAGACTCCACCCCACATTGTCTTGTATGTAGATCAAGAAAGTGTTGGAGAAGAGGGTGCCAAAGAAAATGCTAAACATCCACCAGTTGAAGAAGGATAGCTTCTGAACCCTTTCCTTCGTCTCGAAGTTGTCGAACTGGTCCGCACCCATGGTGGATATGTTAGGCTTGGTGCCACCGGTTCCTATTGCGATGATATATAGTGCACAGTAGAATATTCCTTCTTGGAAAGCCGAGGCTCTTCTGTTGCAGTTCACTCCTTTGTGCCCATGACCGCACGATGGAGGCCTCAAGGCAGGCACCGAAACTGCTAGGGTTAAGAGAGCCATTCCCTGTTTATTTCCCCATAGATGTTAGAACAAAATAATTATCATAATCATCAACATCCATCTAATATTCAAATGAAAATCATGGATTACTTGTGACAGAGGTAACTAAAATGACTTAAAAGATCCATATGCTATCAATAAGGTTATGGTAGAGGGAAAAAAGAGCCCTAAAGTCATGGGATATGCAGGAAGTAAACGTCAAGTCGTCAAATGCATTAATATGACAATCAAACAGTTTCCGGTTTCACCGGTTTCATAATTAAAACCTTGTCTCAGTATCGTAAAACACTTGTTCCCCACAACCAAGAAATTATCAGTAAGTCATGTCTCCGTATACGTGTCCGATAATACATGGATCATGCTCGGCCATCAACGAACACACCAGCAAGATATCGAATGAGTCCGATAAATAATACATGTGTATATGTATACTATACGTACAGCGAGATAAATGGCAGATGAAATAACAAAAGTCCAGTAGCGACCGAGATGAGCATCGGCAATGTAAGCGCCTAAAATAGGTGTCATCCACACAGTTCCAACCCAGTTGGTAACGTTGTTTGATGATTTTACCGTTCCTTCACGGAGCTCCCTCGTCAGATACAACACTAGGTTCGACGCTATTCCGTAATACGCCATCCTCTCAAACACTTCATATCCTGCGATCCAGAAATATTTTTAAGAACAGACAGACATGTTCATACACATGGATCTTCGAAACTGGTTCGAAATTTCCAGGTTTTTCTCGAAGACCAACATATACACACACATATATATATACACATATATATAGCATTGATTTTGTAATATATATGTATATAGTGCTTACCAACAATGAAGGAACAAGCTTTCCATCTACCGGTGTTTGATCTCAAGACAGGCCTGCCTTTGAGATCAACACTTCCATCTTCAGTATAACCGTCGTCTCTTCCATCTGCAGATCCTTTTTCTTCTGCTAATACCCTTGACATCATGAAGACGGCAATTAAGGGCTGTGTTTGTAGGTGTAATCAAAGATCATGTGATAACCCTTCACTTTATATAAAGTTGAGAGGAGATAGTTCAACGACCTCTAACTTGCCAACCCAACGATATCTCTGTAGAAATGGGTTTAAAAACACAATTATTAATTCCCCACTCGGCTGACAGTAACGGGGCACAGTGGCAGGTACAATGACATGATCGAATGAAATCATACACTAAAACTGAGAAAATCTTAATAAGATATTGCATTTGTTCATTCTTTCTTCATCACTGCTATAAACTAAGTTTCCCTCTCTATTAATTTATTCAATTCGAGATTTGGATACATTTTTCTTTTGTAATGTAATCTTAATAAGGAACACTTGGGAAAAATATGAAAATTACTTTGTAAATATCAATTTTGCATGGTTTTTCACTTTTGATCTGTTCCCCTTGTCCTTGAGCAGCCTTGTAAAATTCCAAAAAGCTTAGAAATAAGGGTTAATTGCGTTAGACACAGCCTAGATTTTGATTTCCTCTTTAAATTTTAAAGTATTTTAATATAACCCCCAAAAGTAAGTTTTATAACACGTCTTTCGGTTAACATAATCATTAACTTATTATTAAATGATAATTTAAATATGATACGGAAGCATACCTGATTTAATTGATAGGCTGAGATCTTAAATCTTTCTTCCGTTGCGATTTTCCAAGAAGATAAAAGAATTCTCTTGAGTATAAATTTTCTGATAGGATGAGAGAAAATACAATATAATCTATTTTTTGTGACCATAACCCTTTATATAGATGATTTAAGAATCAGTTATTGTTTGTAGTTATAACTCTGTACCTCATCAAATTATAAATAAAACTTTAATAGTATCTACACTTTTATTTCCATAACACTTCTAATATCTTACGACTTTATATATAATTGGTCACTTAATTTATCTCATATTTTATGATAATAATATACATTAAAAATATATACTTACAATTATGAATTTTAATCCAACGTATATTACATCAGTAGTTTGGACCTGAGGTGATAAAGGAAATAAACAATGTAGATAAAATTTAAGAGAACTATTTCTTCTTTTTTAACACATCAAATCTAAATTACCTATTCAATAGATATATTCTTTTTACGATTTGTTCTACGTGCTTTAGATCATAAGTAAGATTTGAATTGATATTTAGTATCTAAATTAATAGTTAGCAAACAAAAAGGTTCAAGTAATATAATATTAATATTTCGAGGACTCGTTTATAAATTATTTTATTCCTTTACCATCAAGATCACTTGGTTCGTAGACAAAGAAAAAATAAAAGGGCAACGAATGAGTCAGTGACAGAGACAATACTATAGGGTTAAGACAAATGCAGCATTAAAGACAAGGGCTCCCTTCATTTGAGAAATACAACAATGGAATCAAAGATAAGGAATGAAAATTTTTATAAAATTCAAATTTAGAATAAATCAAAATAAATTTTATAAAAATTAAAATTATATCGGATCGAATCGAATTAAATATAAAATAAAAGTACTTGATTAATTAATTCTAAGATAATTATTATAATTTTCCTATATAAAAATAATTCTTATAATATCTCTTCTCCTCTCATTATTAAATAAAAAGATATCCATATTGAACGGAATTAAATCTTTATACTACGATGAGTTGAAATTAAGGGACATTCACATGTATTGTTTCCTTCTTATTTTTGGACGTATACTAAGGATGGAATGTGCTTTTCGGTCTGCACCTGAACAGCTTCACTAAGCCAAGAGATGATTAATAGAGGCATATCGAAGTATAATACAATCTTCAATGGTGGGGCTTCGGCACATTCTTTGAATCAATTGTGACTTAACCACTCACATGTAGTACTAAAATTTAATTATATTTCGTCTGGGGTGAGTATTCGATCGAGTCGAGTTAAAAAATTGAGTTATTTGAGTTGGCGCGTCGAATTTTACATCTCGAATTTAACTTTAAATTTTTTCGAATCGAGTCTAAGAAATTCGAGTTCCTATACTAATTTTATTATAATTATTTATAGTATTATGACAAGTATTTGTTCCAATTTTTTGACTTTCTCTAACCGCAATATACATATTATATTCTTTTCACATTATAATTTTATTTAATATATCAAATACAATCTTAATTTTTAAAATATATTAATTATATTTTAAAGAAAGTATTTTGAGAGTAAAATATTGATGGGAAGAAAAAAAGTACAAACAATTGTAGTCAAAAGACCATGTGGCTACATAGTTATTTCATTGTGGTAAATGAGCATGAGGTTCAAATTTGGTGGAAAACGACTTAAAATAAAGGATGAAATGAAGAAACAAAGAAATTATGAAAAATTGAGGGACTAAATTGACAATTAGAAAAATTGAAAGTACATATGTATTCTATGATGGTTTAGGAGCATGTGGTTCAAATTTGGTAAAAATGAACTTAAAATGAAGGAGGAATTGAATAAATAGTGAAATTAGGGATTAAATTGTAAAACTGTCAAAATACTTAGTCAAAATTTTCGGTTTTTTGAGTAACTCGAAATTTCAAAATTTCAACTCGAATCGAACTCGAAAACCAAATTTATAATTTGAGTTGACTCGAATAACTCAAAATTGAAAAAAGATTGATATCTCGAGTCAAGTCGAGTTTTGTTCACCCTTAATTTAGCCATTGATAAGTTTAATAAAAAAACCCTTTTTAATCACATACGTTAACATTAGTATTTAAGTATAGATTATTAAAAATAATAATATAAATTTAAGAATATTTTTACGAGAGTGGGAGGAGGAAATACTTGCAAATTGATATTAAGGACGAAATTATGATAGACTATTAAGATGAAACAAATTATTAAACTTAAAACATGCAAAGAACTATTAAATATTTATATTTAAATTTTAAAAGATATTAAAAATTACTTTATGTAATAATTGATTTTGCAATGGTCTAAATTATGATTAGACAAATAATTGAAGAACCAAAACTCCTCCCACTCATTATATTTTTTAAAGAATTGTAATTTATAAATAAAAAAATATTGTAGACATTTTTTAAACAAAGAGAACTGAATTTTATTGAAAATAGAATAAATCAAAATTACAACGCACTAAAATATAGAGATAAAATTGGAGATAATATTCACTAAATTACTTATACAAAAATATAATATTAAACCTAAAGATACGAAGAAAAGCAAAACATTCAATTGAGAATGACAACCAACATAAAAAAAACAATAACCTTCATAAAAATTTATTGTTTCAATCGAGTGAACGTTTTATGAAGTGATAAAGGAGTGGTGAGCGTACCAAATAATCTGGTAAGCTGTTTCGCCACACAATTCTGATTAAATCGGCAAACGATCTTTTATCAAAGAGGGTAGTCGACAATATGCGACCGCTGAAAAACCTATAAGAAAATAAATATCGTGATGATTTTTGTACGAACACCAAAACAACCGCAAATATATGCGAAAAAAGTACCAAAAATCATAAGGATCGTGTCACAAGAGTAGAGAAAATGTGTGCTACAGGTACAAAAAAAACTTGTCACAATGACAGAGATTCTTATTCAAAATTAAAAAACCTCAAGAAAAAGGAAAATAAAAGATATAGTATAAAAAAACAAGAGAACTAATAATTACTGACAGTCGGTAACTAACATTAAAATTAGTGTTACCGTCATCTTAACAAAAATAAAAGAGAGAAAAAAGATGGCACAACATTATTAAAAGAAAATTAGGTTCAAGAAAAATAAGATAATATATATAGCTTTAAAGAACAGATTGTAGACATTAAAATTTTATTTTAGAATTTAGAATTCTATTATATGGACCAACTATATTAATGAATTTTGGTTCTAGGTTAAATAAAATGAGAAAGGAACTGGATTTTCAGATATTTGGGCTTTTAAATGTCTAAAGACATGTTTGGGTCACAAATTAAGTTATGCCGGCTCACAATGACTATAGCTAGGTAAAATTCACTTAATAGGCCATGCGGTTAAAAAATAGTTCATTTTATTATTTTACTAATTAATTTTTTAATTTATTTATAATGCACATATATTTTTAAAGAAGACGTTGCTCGAATTTAGAATTTTGACAAAAATAAATATTTTTTATCACTTAGGTTATTTAATGGCTTTAGAATTCATTATTAATTATACACGAATGATAATTAAGTTGAACAATGCATGAAATGAATGGTCAATTTATTCCGTTTTGAACAAGTATCAAGTTGTACAAAGCATAAAAATTTCCCAGTTGGTATGATCAGCACTCGACTCCACATTGTTTGAGGACAGGACCTGTTTGCTTGGGCAAGAAAGGATCGATCCGAACCCAGACCAACGAGAAGATCGATGCAAGAAGTATAGACCACAATACAACAATGGTTGGGGTCCTGTTTTGCCTTCCCATCAAACCTTTGAGGAACGAATAGAGGTGAACGATGACCCAGAAGGCAAAGAATAGCTTGCCAAATAAAGGACCCCACGAACCATAACCATTGTTGGTTGCATCAGAAACCCCGGCCACAACCCCCACCATGTTCAATACTATTAGAGTCGACGGTGGTATTAGAAGGGTGGTCCATTTGAAGAGGTAAAGCTCACCGAACTCGGTATCTTCGGCGGCTTTTGTTGTTATAGTGAAGCTGGTGTCGACTCCAGCAAGGACTTTTAGCAGGGCCTTGGAATACGGCAAAAAGATGCGCCGAGACACCACCGATCACCCAGAATTGCTCGTTGCGCCACCAGTCTTGGATGCTAACTCCTCTTCATCGGAGTTCAAGAACACCGGTTGCTATGATGGAAAGGAAAAGTGCCAGGAACCATACACTTGTAAGGTTGCTTAGCTGCCAAGAAAACAAAAATGGTAAAGCTTAAAGAATCCAACATGTTAAGATTCTCCAGGGCCTAATGAATAAATCACTTTCGGAATGTTTTTACGAGTAATCCAGAATGAAACTTACAGTAGGGATGATAAATTTTCCGGTTAGGAGACAAACAGCTGGAATAGTACAGTAGGCGAGTAAAGGAATAGAAGTGAAAGGGTAGACAATAGTGTTTATGTAGACAA